ATTTCATCAGTAGACCCATGAAAAGCAGAAGCCTAAAACCCCAAGTTTACCCACTTAAAATTTATTCACTGTAGCACAGAAATTGAATCTAATTCATGAACTATGAACCTAGAGAACACAAAAAGATAATAAAAATAGAGAAAAATAAATGAAGAAAATCGAGGGGAAGCTATTCAACTTACCATTAAAGACGATGGGCTCTCATGGAATCCCACTCTCTCTCGTTCTCTGATGTGAAGACGACTGCTCGGCTCTAGGTAGATTCACGGACAAAAATGAATCGTATTTTAATCCCCAAATTTATAAGTGGACTTTTTTACAGTATTTCGTGGAATAACAGGGGTTTAAAGGTAAATATTGCAGGAGAGTGCGGGCCACATTTGTATTATTGGGCCACCAGGTATACGTTACCCATCTGATGCAGAATCTGTCGGAATCCTTTACATGCCCAGAAGTACACAGACACATGACTTTTTATGGAGTCTTAAATAGAAGTTTAAGGGTGCTAAGTGTAAAGATAATAATGGGATTGGGACTCTGCCTGTTTAAATTAAAGTCTGTGGAAAGGTAAACGTCGCTCCTCGCAAAAAATCTCTCTTATTTTTGACTAAATTGCTCTTCGTTTCCCTATTTTGCAATTACATGTCCTCACTTATTTTTTACAGCATTTATATATCCTAAAGATTTTAAAAATTACACTTATATGTCTTCGTTTATTTCTATTTTTTGGTAGCACTCATACGTCATAAAGCTTATAAAACTTACAATTAATACCTTAAAGTGTTTAAAACTTGTTTTAAAATTAACCTAAAGTTTTTAAAAACTTATATTTGAGTTAATTTTAGAACTTTTTTACTATTTATTTTCGGTAAATCTACAATTAAAACTATCATAATTCCGTCTTAAACATACTCTAATTCTATTTTAAAATAGGATTAGGATATGTCCAACAATAAATTTAACAAATATTAGGAGTTAAAAGTTTTCTAATGTTAGCATGAAAGAGGTCACATGAAAAATTCTCGCATTTGAATAATTGAGAATATTTAAGTGCAAGTTATAAAAACTTTAGGATAATTAACTGAAAGTCTTAGACACTTTAAAGTATATAAGTACTGTCAAAAACAAATATTGGTATTTAATTACAAATTTTAAAAGCTTAAGTTATATATCTATTGCCAAAAACAAGTGAAGGTATATGAGTGCAAATTAGCGGAAATGATAGAGTATTTAAGTGCAATTAAGCCCTTATTTGTTTTTAAACCCTCTGAACCTTATCAATTTCTCATCGGGTACCCTACCTCTGATTTGTAAATAACTAAAATTTCTTTGAGAGAGAAAAAAATCTAAATTTTTTTTATCATTTGCTTTCCGAAAAATCAAAAAAAAAATTGTTTATCATTTGCATTCCCTCTCCAAAATTTTAGATTTTTTTTTCTCTAGAGAAATTTAAATTATTTGTAAAATATATGTAGAGCATCCAATGAGAAAGGTTCAAAGTTTAAAAGATTTTTGTGAAACACCCCAAAATTCAAGGAGTATATGAGACAAAAAAAAGTTCGAGAGAGCTTTGTGATCTCATAGTCCACGTAGCTTTAGTTTCACCCGCTTTGATGTTACTTATTTTTGATAACCCCCAACTTTTATTGTTGCCCTATGGTACCCCCAAGTTTTATCTATTTGCACTTTGATACACCAATTTATTTGATACTTCAAGTTTTGAGGATTGTTTATTTATTTTTTGTTAAACTCAAATCATGTACTTAAAACAAGATATGATTTGGACTTTCATATTTATTTAGTCATTATAAACAAGGAAAAATTGTGTCAAGACTCCAAAAATAGGAACTTAAAGTGGCCCAGCCCTACATATCAATTCCCATGTTGTTTAGACCCTAAAAACAACCATGAATATGGCCTAGTCCCTAAAACCCAAAAGTACCCAAGTAGCATACATATTTCACTCATAATCCCATATTTACCTGTCTTTACACGGATAATGAAGCTAAGAAAAGAGAATGAAAGTTGGTAAAGAGCGGCAATTTGAGAGCACATTAAATGCGATAGAAGGGTGAAATTGGAGGGGGAAATAGGGATTTCCCGCTATTAATCCTCTTTCTATCCTTCTATCCTCTCAATTATTATGTTATTCTCTCATTTATGGTGCCGCGGTTTTTGTTCTTTGACAACCCCTTGTCCTAAAATTCCCTCTACTATTACTCATAACTCTGCTTCTTATTAATAACCAAAAAAGCTCTCATTTGCATCGTGTCTTTGGGTGAGAAAGTGGTGTTCTCAATTGTAGCTTCTGGAGCAATCTTTTTTCAACTGAAATCCGATGTGGCTAAGAGGTTGAAAGTCCCACAAGATGCTTTATCATTGATATATACATATAAAAGAAACCCCAATCTAAGTTCTACGATTAAGAATGAAGAGGATTTGAAGTGTATGGTAGAGCATAATCGCAATATTGACTATTTGGAGATTCATATGCAAGCTATTGTTGATATAAAAGTTTCCACTTCTATAAACACGCAGAAAGTTCCTGCTAAAATTTAAGCAATTGTTAAACTTTGGTGAAAGTTGTGACTTCTGTGATGTAAGCTTTCTGATTTCTGGTTAAATGTTACATATGACAGTCACATATTAACTGTAAGCCTTATTTGCTAATCTTGCCATATGTGTGTTAGGTTTGATAGTTACATGTTAAGTATAAACCTTGATTGCTAAGTTTATTAGATACGTATTAGGTTTAATCATTATGTGGTAACTTTAAGCTTTGGTTGTTAAGATTACCAGATAGATGTTAGCTTTAATAATCGCATGTTAGCTATAAGATTTTTTAAAATAAATTTAAGAAAAATTACTATATTTGCCTCTATTTTTCGTGTTGGTTTTATAATCTGACTCATTTTTAAATTTGTGCAGCAGTTATCCTTCTTTGAACCTAAAATATAAACATACTACTCTCGTTAGCACCTCTAGTTCAGAGAGAATTATGAATGATTATCCATCTGGTGAGAAAGTAATCAAATGACATTATCAACAACATTATCATCATTTCTAAATATGGCACACTGCATTAACTGAAAAGGGTCAACAGTTTGAAGTTGTTATTGAGTAAAGATTAGCTTTTCAATACTATTCTATGATAAAAATTTGATTATGAATTTGCAAAGAATAAACCTAAATGTATTCGAGTTTTTTTGCTGATATAAGGAAACATATAGTTGCCCTTGGATATTGTTTACCTTCCTGTTAAAAATAAAATGAGATTTTTTTGGTCAAGAAGCATGCGAATGAACACACTTGTGGGCAGCATGCAACTCTTCAGGTAGATCAAGGGCCTTCTGTAAATTCATAACAGCCTAATCGAAACCCGTTTGAAGGTTCAGTTGGAACTCCACCCTGTTGATGTGCAAAGGAGTTCCTTACTGTTTGTCATAAAATAGATCTCAAAATTTGTATTAAGTGAATTGTTTATTACAAATTGAAATCGCTTTTACACAGAAGCAGAGAGAATTGATTCGATCTCTCTTTGTTTAACGTGGGTTCTTTAGGGCGATAGGATGCTTCTCTCGATGCTCGTGTCAAGTTTGCTTTCCTTTAACGATTCGAACGAGGTTGCAGACAAACTTTAGTGCGTGGTAGAAGTTTGGTTGGATGAGTTCGAAGGCCGAACAAGTGCTTGATTGCTTATAAGCCGAATATGCTGAGATCTCAAAGTTCGTTCCTCTTCTCCTGAGGATTCGAACAAGACTACCAATAAGCTTCGTCGTATGGTAGAAGCTTTATCGGAGTTTGAATGTCCGAGCTAGGATATTTGAGAGCCGAATGCACAAGATGTTAGGTTCGTCTCTTTGCCTCCGCACCTTTCTGTTTGTATTGGAAACCTTTTTCATTACGGAAACTATTTATAATTGTTTATCAATTACAGATTCAAGAGAGTTAATCTTTTTATAAGATTTCTCATTACAACAAAAATAAACAAATGAGATCTCCTAGAAACACACGAAGAATAGTTTATCGATCGCTACTTGCATGGGATCTTTGCCTGTACCGAGGATGCTTTAATCCGTGGACCGCCGAATGATAGATCTGGATTGATGCACATGAAAGCTTAGTGTTCTTTCTTTTAATCAAGAAAACTTAGAACTAAAGTAAATAATCTCAACCAAGTAAGATTATTACTCTTCTCAAGATCAAAACAAGGTCAAGTAAATAATCTCAACCAAGTAAGATTATTACTCTTCTCAAGATCAAAACAAGGTCTGATCTCGAGGGAAGGATGAAAAGAAGATTATTACTCTTCTCAAGATCAAAACAAGGTCTGATCTCGAGGGAAGGATGAAAAGAGGCTTCAGATCTCTCTAAATCTTCCTTCTTATGCTGAAGTTCATCGAGATCTCACTAGCCTCTCTCTAAAATTCATAGGTATGCTCTCATAGGGTCGGCATCTCGCCTCTAAGCTCCAAATTTCAGATCTCCCATATATAAGAGCCCTAGGGGTGTATTTATAGGCTTCAGATGCTGTGTTTTTGGATAAGAATTCATGATTTGATCTTATCTTTAGTTAATAATGGCTTAACCATATTTAGGGATAATCCCGAGGTAGTTAGGGAGGTAGTAGATCGAACGAATCCCGAGAAAATCATCCGAACACATGTCATTGGGAACTTCACTGTGCAAGTCACCTCAATGTGACTCGGTACTGTTCCGAGTCACCTTGAGGTGACTCGGAATTTCTGAGTCACTTTGAGGTAACTGGGATTTTTTGACTTCCCGGTTTTGGTTATGTTCCATCGTTCTGCGCACGTTTTGACGTTTCGTACGCATTCCTTTTCCTCTTTTTAGCCTCGGATGATCTCTTTTGACTCAGATGTGATGTTCATCGTCTTCTCTTCATCTCGAGCTATGTTCCGAGAACCTTTAGGCTTGGTCTAATAGTTCAGGTGAGGTTCGATTAGTTCAGGCGGACTTCAAAACATGCTGCGAAGAACGGGTCATAACTTTCAAACTATAAGTCAGAATTTGATGAATTATATATGAAAATCATCTGTCTCGATAAGACGGGGCCAACCAAAGCAACCAAATTTTGGTTTGCCGCTGTTTGTTTCTCTAAATTCCCTCTGGTTTGAGAGATATCAGTATTTTTGTCAGTTTTAAGCTTCTTTGCAATCTATAGGTTATTTATGCCTACAGATACCCCCTCCAAAATATTTTAACCTCATTTTTTTATAGAGGAGTTTGGAATGCTTTGGATAAGATAGACCTAACCTTCAATTT